AAGCCACAACATCTCCTCTTGCGTGTTACGCTCTTGTTACCTGCATGCTTTCCAGTCCTCTTGGTCGGCGCGCATGCTCTCCAACAGTGTAAGCCTCCATGCATTCAGCTGAGCTCTGTCAGTCTCGGAGGAACGCACCAAATCACAGAACATGTCTTCCCTTGTCTGCTTTTTTTGCCTTCTAATCTAGGACAGCCTTTGTGCTAGTGTGGAGGAAGCACCCACAGACAAGGTTGCAGCTGCAAGGAAACAAAAACCCCAAGGGTAGCCTTACAGAACATGCATTGCTGAAAACAGAATGTTAACTCTTGCAATGAATGAAACACTTCACAGCAGTAAATACATTCCCTGAGGTACACAGCCACATTTTGTCTTTTAAAAGAAGCATCTACCAGTAAGGTTCTTGGGAACACCCTTTGTGTAGCTGGACTGGCTGCCACTGTATCCCAATTGTTTACCTCAGATTAAACATTAACCACAATTGCATTCTTAACCTAGGGTTGGCCATGAATGTAGATGCTCAAGCCATGGGTTCTCAAACCCTGGGTCTGCTGATTTGAATCCCACTAAACTTGGGATTACATTGCAGTGTAGACATACCCTTTAAGGGAGAGCCTCCTCAGAGGTGATTTGGTTCTGATTAATGTACATGCAGGAGACAGAAGGCTTTGAAGCTGAGATATAGAAAGAGTTATTCATTCTGTTGGTTTACTGTTCATGATGAACAGTTCATTGTCTCAATACCACTTTTACTCTTGGGGGAATTGTGCATCACTACACGTGCACAGAATTCATGACCCTGCGGATTTCTTTGCTTCCCCGCAGAAAAAATGATTTCTGACAGGGAAGCAAAGGGAAGCTACAAGAGCAATCATGCGCCCCTCCCCGGCACTGCAGGCAGGTTGGTTTGGACACCCAGAGCAGCTGGTAGAGACATAAATGAGCCCGGGGGGAGAGAAAGTGTTGGGGATAAAAGAAAAATCTCTAGACTGTTTAAACTTCCGTTTTGAATTCCTTTGGCGTGCAAGAGTTTTGTACTCTACTAAGAGGCTTTTCTTGGATTATGGCCTGTTTCAGTTTACAAGTGAAAGATGGAGGGAATGCCCTCCACCTGGCTGCAAGAGAAATGACCTCTGATCAGATCCAGCCTCAGTCAGCTCAGCTTCTGACTATATCAGGAGTTAGTTTCTGCTCTGCCTGTATGAATAAGCACAAGGTCGTTAGTGCTTTAACCATGTCACTGCTGCCTAAATTGCCTTTTGTGTGGTGATGGGGAGCTGTGAGGCTAATGTAGGGGGGAAGGAAAGCTGATAAAATACACTTCCTGTCTTCTGCAACTCCCTTTGCTATACCTCCATGCCCATCCTCCAATTTGTTGGAGCACCATAGTGTTGTTTATCATTACTTTTATTACTTTTACAGTGCCCAGACCAGAAGTGTTCTGATAGCTTTACAGAACAACTAGTCAAAAACAAACCCCGCTCCCAAGACCTTACCACGACAAGTTGCAGCAAGTGATAGTAAGAAACATTAGGGAGAGGTGGGGGAGGGTATGAGGAATGGCAAAGTCATAACAAGATCACACAGTTAGACAATTTAAGGATGTGATTGTCACAATGACTGAATTAAAAGTGTTTTATGTTTTTTCTTCTTTTTAGCATGTGATGTGATTCACTGACAAAAAACATTGTAACTCAGTGGGAGATAGGTGCCTAAATACCTTTGAAGGATCTGGACCTGGGAATTTTGTAGTTAATTTTAATAGAAGCAGGCCTCAAGTCCCTAAGGATCAGATACTGAAATCTTATTCTTTCTCCAATTAAAATAATGCTTAAAATCAAATCACATGCTCCAGTGAACAAGGCTTTCCTGACAGATTGCCCTGTGAGAAAATGGAGTGGCAGTAAAAGGATTATATCCTAAGATAAGCACATATTTACCTGACATAAACAAAGTCGAACTGAAAAACTTCTGAATCATTCGGTCCAAAATTAGGTCAAATCCTTTTGTTAAGAAACCTGAGAAACATAGCTTAAAGGCTCTGTTCCATGGTATTTTTGACTGACGTTCAGGTCATATTGGAACATATGCATGGTGCAACATCCATCCAACTTGACACAGGTTACAAAGTGTTATGCTAAGTGTTGTGTCAACTTTTCCGAGCACATAAGAGTGTTGTCAGTTGGTGAAGTCTCACAAAACTCTCTTCAATAATTTGGTTGTGAAGTTTGAATTGACAGAATAATAAAACATATGCAGTATTGTTGTTTTGGTCCAAAGATGATAGAGAGACAAGGTGGATGAGGTAATAGCTTCCATTGCACCAACAGAAGATGGTCCAAAATAAGATATTATCTCACCCACCTTGTCCGTTAGAATAATAAAACAGAACTTTGGCCTACAAAGCATGCTGTCAACACTGATAGATCTCAGATTCGCTTCTAACCTGGAAAATAAATATTTTTGGTTTCCAAATATCTCCAATAATAAAAAAAAGCCCAAACCAAACCCCCTATGACTTTTTTTTAAAAGGGCTGAAACAATATTAAAATTCTAATCCTCAAACGGAGGGTCCCCCAAATATAATAAACCTGGGACAGTGGGTTGCTTGCATTTCTACTCTCCCTGCTGCCTCAATTCCAGTGAGCAGCACGAGATTCAAATTTTTCAGCTATTTCAGTCCCTTGCCCATTCACAAAATGAATGGGACTAGTTTTACTTGATTAGGGGGTCACAGAATTTGCCATGAAGCCAGCAAGCAGGGTAGGAGGAGGAGGTGAGATTCCTCTTTTCTTTTCTGATCTTTTAAAAAGATTTCATACCATCTACCACGTGAAGAATGTAGGACCTGTCTCTACAGTCCTTACTCACCAGAGTAGTTCCCTGAATAATCATTAAATTCAAGTGATTCTGCTCTTGGGGAAGAATGGGCTTCTATTGGATTACTCAGGTAAGTAAGGGATGAGGAACCATGCTCTTATTTTGTAAATTAGTCTCTGGAATGATGGGCACAATGCCTTGGCATTGATGGCATTATAGGTCAGGTAAAAATAAAGGACATGGGACCCAGTCCTAAAGTCCTTACTTAGGTAAAACACCAAATGACTTCAAAAACCGAGTAAGGACTTCAATGAAGTTACATGGTTTTATACCAGTTGAAGATCTGGCCCCATATATTTAAAAAAACACTTTTCTGACTTATGTTGCTAACAACACCTTATCATAATGCAGATATTTACACAGATGATTAAGCAAAGATTTTCATTTTGATTTAATTTCACACTTTTGTTGTTGCAGTTAATTCATTGTTACAGAGTATGAGTTGCAAGCTTTGTGTGGGAATGATCATATATGCTTACTTTAAGGAAAATCCTGTTACCGTTTTTTTTTGTTTTGTTTTTTTAACAATGGACATTTTTCCAGTAATTTTCCTTTCAATCAAACTCATTTTTATGGAAACTAAATTTTGTCCCGATAGTCAGGAGCGCCACCAGCTTTTTTGCCGCCCTAGGCGGCGGAAGGTCCCGCCCCCAAAATGCTGCCAACGAGCGGGGTGGCCGAAGATCCGGCCACCGCGGTCACCGCCCCCCAAATGTGTTGCGCCGGCCCTGCCAATAGTGTTCCCTTTGTGGGGTGGGGGAGGTGGGGTTGGAGAGAGAGAAAGAAAACAAATAAGGAACAAATGGAAAGAATAAAGAAAGAAATGCACTAACTCCAGCACTATGCCAGGAAGCCTTTACAAAAAAAAAGTTGTGTAGTGACACAGACTGCAGTGAAATTTATAAACATACTCTGACTTCAACATGTGAATTGCATCAGGTAAAAAGAGACACTGAACTACTAGAATATGGAAACTTACAAAAAATACTTTAAGTTTGTTGGGAATGTAGTCACTGCATTTCAACCTGTCCCTTCTCTTTCAGGCCTGTTTGTTTGTTTAGCCAAGAGGTGTTACAACTGCTGATTCTATGACTCAGATGGAAAAACATACCAGCAGGGAGGAAAGAAGATGGAGGTGCTTGGAATTTCTCCCTCAGGGGCTTATTCAGGTCTGTCAAACTTTGGACCAATTGATTATATATTTATTTACTAATCCAGGTATAGGGTGCCTTGCACAGATCAAATGCATCTTAGACTAAATTGAAGTAGCAAACCTCTAAAAGAAATAAAATCAGTTAAAGAACAGAGCCAAGGAAGCTGACAAAGATGGAATAGCAGTGACCATCAAGGCAAACCATTTGTCAAAAGGTATTTGATACTAATACAGGAGACACCAGAAACATGAGAGAGGGCCCCAAATGGTAAGGGAGTGGCTAATTGGAAGAGAAGAGTCTTTCAACGTATGCTAAAAAGACAGGTTTCAGAGTAGCAGCCGTGTTAGTCTGTATCCGCAAAAAGAAGAACAGGAGTACTGTG